TTTGGGGGACCTTGAATATGGGCGATTCCACCCAGCCCCCCCAGCCCCAGCCCCACCCCCAGCCCCTCCTCCGGGGACCCTCAGATGTCCAGGAGACTCGAGGACCACGCAGCGTCCACATTGCACGGCCACTGCGGTGCAGTCAAGGGCCTGCAGAAGGTGACCCCTGGCCTTAGCACCCCTTGTCCTCCATTCAGACCGCCCCCATTCCTTCCTACGGACAAAGCTGTCTGCAAACAGGAGCTCTGTTGGCCCCTGGCTGAGCGCCCTGAGCGAGGGCCGGGAGCCTCACGTCTGCAGACTGCCCGGACCAGTCGGGTGGACCCCTTGGTCTGCCACTGCCCGTTGCTCTTGCACAGCCGCGACACCGGGACCGGGTAGAAGCCCTGGGGGCAGGAGTAGACGAGGAGACTGCCCGGGGCCCAGCCGTGGCTGAGCGTGAACGTGCCACCGGAGATATTGACGTTCTGAGGGCAGGAGGGAGTGGTGCTGGCCGGTCCTGCAGGCGTGGGGGAAGAGAAGAGAGGCGCGGAGGAGAGAAGGGAAGCAAGAGTGTGCATTTCACCTCGAAGCCCGACCGTGCCCCACGTGGGAGCGCAGCCGGGGAGCCCCAGCCTTGTCCGCCGGACCCCAAGCCTCCCAGCCGCCTCCTACCTGAGTACAGGGACAGCAGGCACAGGAGAGCCATCAGTGGGTCCATGCTGTCCACTTCAGGGGCAGGGACAGGCTGGGAGCAGGCGGAGGGGAAAGGTCACCTGACTTCCCGAAAACGAGAGCTGGCTCAGCAGCGGCTTCATTTGCTGCCCAGAGTGCAAACGGGAGTGGCAAAGGGGATGGCCGGTGTAGGAAAACACGGTCAGGACTGGCGACCTGGGGACAAGCCTTTGCCCTTTCCCTGTCGCCCGCACAGCTATCGTCAGTGGGTCTCCGAGCAGGCTCAGCGTGCGGCTCCCAGCTCCACCCTCTGCACACGCACTTGTGCACGCACATGCACACACACACACATGTTCACAACATGCACTCATGCACGCTTGCTCTTACATGAATAATCCAAACCCACAAACCACCTGAAACAGAAATATTGCAAAACGTTCTAAGGGGAGTGTTAGCGTTCTCTTGGGGTTTGCCAAGTGCATTTTGTTTCCTGAGTGCCCAGGAAGGATTGTCTTCTTGACAATTCCTTCTACCAAGGAATTAAGACTCATTTTCTTAGAACATATTTTTAAGAATTATTTTATTAAAAAACCAACCAAACAAAAACCTGCTTAAAAGGAGACCAGCAGTTGGCGTAGTGTCTATGTCACTGGATGCCCATGTAGTCGACCACAGTTCAAATCCCAGATCTGGTGGCTTAAAACCCACGCTGGAGACCAGCAGTTGGCGTAATGGCTATGTCGCTGGACTCCCAGGTAGTTGACTGCGGTTTGAGTCCCGGACCCGGTGGCTTAAATTCATGCTGGGCACATGTGCGTGCGTGCCCAAGATCCTGAGAGGAGAATGGAGGAGAAGGGATTGCGGCGTGGCCAATCCCCCTGGGGGGTGATTTCTCAATTTCTCACTTTCTGTCTTTCTGTCTCTCTTTTTTTTGGTGAGCACACGTCCCCTATAGCAAAAACCTCCCCCCCAAAAAAGAAAAAATTAAAAAGAATTATTTTATTTAAGTTTATTTATTTATTTAAATTTGACCAGAGAGGGACAGAGCAAGAGAGTGAGAAAGAGAGAAAGTCAGAAAGCAAGCCACCAAGTCCAGGACTTGACCTGCGGTCAGCCATGTGGGAGTCCAGCGCCCTTAACCACCACGCCACCTGCTGGCCCCAGAACTTCTTGATAAGTAGGAAGATTTACAATTCTTTTCTCTGCAACCCTCTGCCAGGAGCGGCTTCATTTGCTGCCCAGAGTGCAAACGGGAGTGGCAAAGGGGATGGCCGGTGTAGGAAAACACGGTCAGGACTGGCGACCTGGGGACAAGCCTTTGCCCTTTCCCTGTCGCCCGCACAGCTATCGTCAGTGGGTCTCCGAGCAGGCTCAGCGTGCGGCTCCCAGCTCCACCCTCTGCACACGCACTTGTGCACGCACATGCACACACACACACATGTTCACAACATGCACTCATGCACGCTTGCTCTTACATGAATAATCCAAACCCACAAACCACCTGAAACAGAAATATTGCAAAACGTTCTAAGGGGAGTGTTAGCGTTCTCTTGGGGTTTGCCAAGTGCATTTTGTTTCCTGAGTGCCCAGGAAGGATTGTCTTCTTGACAATTCCTTCTACCAAGGAATTAAGACTCATTTTCTTAGAACATATTTTTAAGAATTATTTTATTAAAAAACCAACCAAACAAAAACCTGCTTAAAAGGAGACCAGCAGTTGGCGTAGTGTCTATGTCACTGGATGCCCATGTAGTCGACCACAGTTCAAGTCCCAGATCTGGTGGCTTAAAACCCACGCTGGAGACCAGCAGTTGGCGTAATGGCTATGTCGCTGGATTCCCAGGTAGTTGACTGCGGTTTGAGTCCCGGACCCGGTGGCTTAAATTCATGCTGGGCACATGTGCGTGCGTGCCCAAGATCCTGAGAGGAGAATGGAGGAGAAGGGATTGCGGCGTGGCCAATCCCCCTGGGGGGTGATTTCTCAATTTCTCACTTTCTGTCTTTCTGTCTCTCTTTTTGGTGAGCACACGTCCCCTATAGCAAAAACCTCCCCCCCAAAAAAGAAAAAATTAAAAAGAATTATTTTATTTAAGTTTATTTATTTATTTAAATTTGACCAGAGAGGGACAGAGCAAGAGAGTGAGAAAGAGAGAAAGTCAGAAAGCAAGCCACCAAGTCCAGGACTTGACCTGCGGTCAGCCATGTGGGAGTCCAGCGCCCTTAACCACCACGCCACCTGCTGGCCCCAGAACTTCTTGATAAGTAGGAAGATTTACAATTCTTTTCTCTGCAACCCTCTGCCAGGGAGAATGGATGCTAAACATGAAATCAGTTCTTATTTTTGAAGAGGGGAAAAAACATTGACAACATTTTTGTGGAAACACCGGTAGAATTCTCAACTTATAAAAATACATTTGAGTTTGGTTACTCAGAGGAATGAAAGCATCCGGGGGCCTGGGCTGTGCTTTTAAGTGACAACCTGCACGGGGATAAAGGCAGGAAACAAAGGAACTTGAAGCTGTGTGTCACTCTCTCCATCCCTCAGAAGTCTCTTTAATACTTTTGCAAATGATGCGGGCTACAAATAAATAAGACCAATCGAAAGTGAAGATGAAACTTCTCTGAAGTGATTATTAAGTTTATGAAAGCTTTTCTGATTTAGCAAGCCCAGAGGCCTCATGTTTGAGGGAACAGGGACCCACAGGGACAGTCACACGGGTCAAATCCCAGCCCCAACAGCTTGAAAACATGCTGGCCAGGCGTGCGTACATGCCCCAAATCCTGAAATGATGGAGAAATGGAATCAGGGATTGCGGCATGGACCACATTCCATCGGAGGGCGCTCTCTCCCTCCGTCTCTCTGTCTCTCTGTCTCGGGCAACCATACATGCCCTCTGGCAAAATTTTTTTTTTTTAAAAGATGTTTAGGGAACCAGCAGTTAGCATAATGGCTATGTCGCTGGACTCCCGTGTAGTCGACC